TTATTTTATTATTATTATTATTTTAAACCAATTAATTTGTAAACCAAAAATACTTTAGACTATGTAGCTTATGTTTCCCTCCCTTTTATTTTTTTTAAATTGTTAAAATTGTTAATTAATTAATTAATTAATTAATTAATCAATATATTTATTTATTTATTTATGTTTATTTATTTATTTATTTTATTTATTTTTATTTTACCAAATTATTGATTAGTGGCAATCTTACCACATCCGATCAGGAAAAGTAAAGGAAAATAGTCAACTTCAGAGCAATCCAAAAAAAAAAGACCTGTAATCCAGCAACACTACAGCACTCACAAACCAATTGCTTAATAATCACCCATTTATCTTAATTTTACAGAATAATGTCAGTGCTGGATTTCCAACACAACTCTAATCAATCCAACTCATGCACAAAAAACTCCAATGTGCAATTCTTAATTACATCAATTGATCAGTCTGTTGCCAAGTCCCTGTCAAATTGTCACAACATGAAATATGCTAGGCACACACAATATCCTGTATGGGAAGGTAAGTTTTGTGAACAGAACAGTACTGGCCTTAATTGGACTGGATCCGTGGCAGCACACACTGTCGCGTGACTCACTGGTCAGCACCTCCTCTCTCTCTCTCTCTCTGTCTCCTCCTTCTCGTCTCTCCCATAACAGAAGAACAAAGAACACAGACAATCATTTAGTATTTTATGCATACCTATGTTCACATTCGCGCTAAGAAATAAGCAAACAGCTTAACTCAGGAATATTATAAATAGCTCAATAACATTTTATTTTATTTATTTTTAATCCGTCAACATATCTCTCATTTATAAATTCAATAGATCTCAATCAAATAGTTTAATCGTTAAGCAACAGCCGATTTAACAAACAGAATACTTTATTCGTGTGTAAGTCTCCCCCTCCTTCTCTGTCTGCATGTCACAGCAGCTCAGTTCAGGCAGGGGAGTGGCATATTTGCTCTACGTAACTCTAAACTAATAAAATCCCACACATGCGCAGTTCATTCACCAATGCGATTTCAGAGTGAGAAGAGCTCCCAAGCAGCTCTCTCCAAGCTAAACAACAGAAAGTAGACAGACCAGCTGTCCCTCCGTTATTTCCCCAACACAGACAAACAGTAACACTTAACAGAACTCACAAACCAACACAAAACATAGAACACAAATCCTACTTTGAAGTTTCTTAACTTAACTTATCCTAATCTGCAGATTTATAGTTATTTTCTTATCCATTACAAAACATCTCTATACACTCTTAAAATCCTCCCTGTAGGCTCATAATCTTTTAACAGTTATTAAACGTTCTCTTTTTATAGAGACTCATAAGATTTTTACCTTAACTTCCTTCCAGGGGGCTCATATATAGTTAACAATTATTAACGTTCTCGCTAACGGAGACTCATAAGATTTTAACCTTAACTAACATATTTCCTTACAAAAAGCTAAAACCCCTGTTCTCAACCAAAACATATATATGTATATATCTCTAACATAAATCTTATCATAACATGAGTCGAAACACAGCAGAGACGTCTTTATTTTATTATAATTTTTCCCCCCACACACACACAATTCAAGAGGAATGCATCCGTTCCTACGGTCCTCTAAAGCATGCTACCGTCGTTCCTTATTTCTCATAGTTCCTTCCTACATTTCTGCTACCTCGAGTTTGCAGATATTCAATGAGAGGTTACATCGAACATATACCTCGTCAACTATAAGTCGAGGGGTAACTTGCAACCGAATGTATCTACCACAAATTCCAGTTCCCGGAACTGACCTTAAAAATCAACCTAGTGAGTTTTCAGGATTTTCGGCCCATCCTAATGATCGCCTCGTTTGAGGGCTTCCATAGATCAACGACGTCCTAATTAGTATAAATTTTTCCTTAGTTCCAGGCCTTATTCCTTCATCCTATTCTTTTTCATTTTTATTCAAGCCAAATATCCCTGTGCCCAGTGTTATCAATTCCTATAGACACTCCCTCCTGTTTGCGTTGTTTCCAACGCAAACAAATTTAGAAATTTAGAACGGATTCTTATCCCACAGCAAATAACAGCAAAGTGCACACATAAGTCTTTCAAACGGTACATCTCCTCAGCGCACACACCCACATAAGCAAACGAACCGACCAGCGCCCAAAATTGTGAGAAATCTCACCTTATGTGCCGGCGTCTTGAGCGGGAGTCACTTCGTAGCTCATGAATGGAACGCTGGAGAGACGCAACACGTCCCAAAGTTCCCCGTCGCCATTCTGTGGTATCGAAATAACGATGCTAATTATGCCTTGATGACAAGAAATCCGCTGACACTGATTTCAGCGTCAAGATTTCAGCGTCAATTTACAGACTCCTGCAGACATCTGGAGAACAACTGACCCAATCTCTAATATGTTGTTCCTCCTCGTCCTTTGTTCCAACCATGGTATTTATAATCTGTAACATGATATGGGTGGTTTTCCCATAAACCAATCCCAGGACGCCACATAACAGACTTCCTCTGTTTTAGGGGGCCCCTATAGTAATGCTTTCCAGATGCTTCCGCAAGCTGAGTCAACTTCCTCTAACACACCATTTGCAAACGTCAGCAAAGTCATAAACTGTTTAGACACTACAACGCGCTATGCGCTTCAGCGCTCGGCGGTCCCATTCTGTGAGTTTGTGTGGCCTATCACTTTGCGGCTGAGCCGTTGTTGCTCCTAGATGTTTCCACTTCACAATAACAGCACTTACAGTTGACCGGGGCAGCTCTAGCAGGGCAGAAATTTGAGGAACTGACTTGATGGAAAGGTGGCATCCTATGACGGTGCCACGTTGAAGGTCACTGAGCTCTTATGGACAGGCCATTCTACTGCCAATGTTTGTCTATGGAGATTGCATGGCTGTGTGCTTGATTTTATACACCTGTCAGATACGAGTGTGGCTGAAATAGCCAAATCCACTAATTTGAAGGGGTGTCCACATACTTTTTTTTCCTGGTATGAGGATCAGGGCAGGCCCAGGACAGGGTCCACAGAGGGGCAGTGGCGGAGAAGAGGCAGAGGCCGAGAAGGCCGGATTGTCATCCTGCAGTGATCACTGTTGAGGACCCATGTGCATTCTGTAGCCTATATCCAAAGCATCTCATTAATCATCCTCTTAACCCTTCTGATATGCTTACATTTAACATTTTAAAAACTAAATATCATTGAAAATTATCTTCAATGTTCCACCACTAGCCAATTTAAAAATGTTTGCTTTCTCTTTACAGATTCACTGAACATCAACTTGTTCAACTGTAATCTAAAAGCACTAATGCCGTTACTGTACATGCGTTCTCATAAAGGTACAGAAGTAATAGTCTGAAAGTGTTAAAAAAGCAAGTCTCAAATAGTTCAGTGCTCAAGGTTCAATGAAGTACCCAACGATGTAATTTGTTGCCACTTTATCTTGATGTTGGTTTTAGGATGTATGGCACACATATTAATTACATTTCTTGGCTGTTTTAATAATCAGTTATATGGAAACCCGCAAAATCGTTTTGCGGAGCAGTTAGGCCATGACCTGAATTAGATTTGGCATGTCGGAGAATTTCTGTGGCCGTGTTTACAAACTTTTTTGACCTCTGAATAACTCAATTAATATTAGAACTTAAAATGACAAGTGATAAAGAAGAGCAGAAGTGACAGGCTACACAGATGTTCACACTCTTCATAAAGACCCTAGACACATGTTATATTGGGAAATATCATGTGAGGTTCGGACAGTAACCTCAGCCTGTTACCCAAAGTATTTATAGCACTGGTCTATGCAGTTGCATGTAGGCCATATTACATTATGTTTACAGCAACCGCTATGGAAATCTACTGATAAAATGTCAAACATTGATTTTAATGAGACTATTACTGTTGTCCCTCGATTTGCTTGTTTACTTGCTGTCATTCAGTTGCACATATGTTGTAAATTGTTGTAAATTAATTACGAAATATACTTATTAAAAAACTTGATAGAATTAAATGTTTTATTTATTTGGTAATCAATACATTTACAATACATGTATCCTACACTTACAGATGTATTGGGTAAAGATCACATGTTTTTTTAACCATAAATTGTATTAAATGAAATAGCTAGATTATGTAGCTAAATCACGTTGCATGCATATTATGATATAATGATTTTATTATAGCCTTGGCCTAATTTTATGATAGCCTACTGAAAGAGCCGACAAACTGAAGTCATCTTTCTGGGTGTTTTATTGGTCAGAGAGTGCAGTGACATCATGTCCAATTTTGTCGTATTCAAAATGGTGGAGCAATAACAAACGCATTGTAAATTTCTACGGTAAGGAATATGCAACTTTTAGTCTTAATGATCCATACTCATTGTTATGTAGATCATTCAAAACAAGCATCTATTTTATTAGGTACATATTTGTCTTGCAGTATGTTAGAAATGACGCTGTAACAAAGCTTTGCACCAGATCACACACAGCATGCAATCGAGATTTGGCCTAGCTAGCTAGTTAGCGTTAGCCACACAGTGATTGTATGGGGGGCAGGGCTCGTGTATGATCAACTGAGCTAACTAGTTATTTGAAGAGTAATGGAGGAAATGATAGCTGGCTAGGTATTAATAAGCAAGGTTAGGTTCGTATCTGGCGACAGAAATGTGCAGGTATGTTACAGTCAACAAATATGATTACATGTCTAGCTAGCTAATGTTGGTTGGCCATAGCTCGCAGTAGTTAGCTAGCTACAGAACTTGACTAACTACTGTTATTTGTTCAGATTCATGCATCTGCAGTTTTAATAAGTTTGCATGCAATTGCATTCATTACACAAATATATTTTTCAGTTGGGTACCCACAGTTCCAGAAGAGCTGTAGCTGAATAAAATAAAATAGAAGTGTGTGAAGAGACAGAGGGGGGTGCATTTTGTTAGACTACATTTCTTCAATATGACACACTATATTTCTGTTTTTTTTTTATATAAGTATCAGCATGGCAGACAAAAATGGCAAGAAAGGGAAACCTGTAGGCGTGAAGAGAACATTGACCAAGAGAGAACAAGAAGATATGAAGAAAAAGGTAAGAGATTTGACCATTTATAGCTAGCCATCTTCAACAAAGTGTAGGCCTATTCTTTTCAATTTTAAAACAATCACTTTTCCAGGAAGAAGAAAAAGCAGCTGAAGTTTTTGAAGAGTTTTTAGCATGTTTTGACAGTAATGACAAAAGTGGGGTGAAGACCTTTGTCCGTGGGGGTATCGTCAATGCAACTAAAGGTGAGCGAAACATCCTGGCGAATCCAACTTCGGTTGAATCTGTGTTGCGAACACTATTTTCCATTATTTTAATGCCTACACGGTTACAATTTCTATTTGATTTTTTTTGCAGAAGAGGAAGCAGCAGAGGTGAAAAAGAGCAAGCTTTACCGACCGATCACCAAGTTTACTTCAGTGTCCCAGAATGTCTCACCGGCACACTCTTCTGAAATCAGAAGGCCTGTGAGTATCCATGTGAATCCCTTACTGTGTATACAGAATGATACATTATTTTGTCCCCTTATATGTTTGCCTGGTCCACAGATTGTTAAAAAGAAGACAGAAGAGAAGAAGAAGAGCAACCTTGAACTTTTTAAAGAGGAGCTAAAGCAGTATGTTTTTTGACACGTCGTAGTAATTCATGTTGTTTCATTATTTATTTGACCAATTTGTTGTTTATTTTTGTGTGCAAATAATTCTGTTCTCCTAGAATACAGGAGGAACGTGAAGAAAGGTACAAAAGAAAGACAAAAGAGCCTGGAGGAGGATATGGAGACTTGGACATACCACTAATGCCACGATCAAGTAAGAGACAAATCTGTCCTTTGCAGTGGAATAAGAATGGTTTACTACAATAAGCCTTAGTCCAAATCAAAGATGAACCCTCTGTAGCTTTTACATGTTTAGCTACATATGAACGTCTCCCTCCAGTATTTGATGATGACCCAGCCATACCGAACACAACCAACCTGTACATTGGCTGCATTAGCCCTAAGGTAAAGAAACTATCTGCTTAGGACGTTTTGACAAAGGAGATAAAGATTCACAATATAGCCAGCTCTTCGTTTGTTTTTGATAAATTCAACCAACTTAAATGCTGACTGAATTTCTGCGAAACTTTGCTGATATGATACTTATGATGTGTCAGATGAATGAAGAAATGCTTTGCAAAGAGTTTGGCAAGTATGGTCCCCTGGCGAGTGTGAAGATCATGTGGCCCCGTAGTGACGAGGAACGCACCAGGGTCACAAACAGAGGCTTTGTGGCCTTCATGACCAGGAAAGATGCAGAGAGGGCCTTGGCTGCTCTAGACGGTGAGTCAATCTGTGATAAGGGAATATTACATTCTGTTCAGTAAACAACGCAAGATGATAAATGCCCTGCTCCGTGTTCCATTGACCTTGTAGGATCATTGCTGCTTTTTACTGCAGGTAAAATGGTTATGGGTTTTGAAATGAAGCTGGGATGGGGGAAAGCTGTTCGCATCCCTCCGCAGCCACTCTATACACCTATAGGGGTACTTAAAATGTCCACGCCCCCACCCCCCTCCGGCCTGCCCTTCAACGCTCAGCCCAGAGACCGCTTCCGCAATGACTTTACCAAGCCATGGGGCAGGTCCAAGGAGGAGTTTGACAAGGTAGGTTGGTCCTTTAAAAAAAAAAGACTGTAGGGTAGGGCTCTCCAACCCTCTTCCTGGAGAGCTACCGTCCTGTAAATTTTCGCTCCAACCCTAATCTAGCGCACCTTTCTAATAATTAGCTGGTTGATAAGCTGAATCTGGTTAGTTAGAACTGGGGCTGGAGTGAACTTACAGGAGGGTAGCTCTCCAGGAACAGGGTGAGGAGACCCCTGCTATAGCGTGTGTGCATGGTTCTGTCAAGTTGTTGAAAATAATTTTTTGCTTTGTTTTAAACTACAGTTCATTCGCCAATTTGAGGTGTGTGTGTAGTAGATATTCTATGCAGGTTGATACATTTATCATAGGCTCAATCAACTGGACATTGCTTAGAATTTGATCTAGAATTCAGAACGGCATTTGTATGCACAAACAAAAGGGATGTGATGGTCATGTTCTGAAATAGCAGTTCCGAGTTCCATTTACCTTTTTAAATTCCAGTTGGTTTGTCCTGTGGTGCTTGTATAGACATGTTATGAATCTATTCCTTAGACTAGTAGTGACCTAGTTTTAGGATAGGTCCTAAGGCAGGGGATTTGACCCAGATAGAGTTATGAGGTAGTTACAGAACCATATGTAATCAACGTTACTGTAAAATTAAGAGGGTGGGGGTATTCTATAGATAATTTACTTTAACAACAGTGTAGCTGTCTCTCGAATGTGGGAACCTTTTCCCTCGTTAAAATAAAGTATAGCTGTTACTGCTATCGTCATTTTTATATGCTGTATGTATCCTGCAGTGTTTCATCTGTGTGTATATATACTCACTTTTTTTATATCTTCACTATTTGATTTGACTTCACGAACAGACTCTGTCCGAAGCTGTAGTCAAAGTGGTTATCCCAACAGAAAGGTACACACTCTTTATCCATTCTTACTACTACTGCTACTACGACTGACCAGACGTTCTCACAGACAGAACAGTGTTAGAGGCCCTGCCCTGGTGTACTGGTCTTGTGTACGTATGTGACAGACAGGAAGCCCCAGTCCTAAGTGATACGCCTGTATGTACATGACTGATGGAAGAGGACAGCTGAGAACATAACTGTTTTTGTGCTTTTCTCCCTACATGTCTCATAGTTTGTAGTAGTGTCCTGTTCTAACATTGGTCTGCATTAAGCTATCTTGTTGACAACATGGCCTATGTTCAGGGAATTGGTTACCCCTGCTGCTTAGGACTGGAGGCCCTGTATCTAACTAGTAGGAGGGCCATGGGCCTCAGTTGAACACTGTTGAAGTGAATCATTGGCCTAGTAAGCAAAGCCCATAGTTTATTCATTCATGTCATCCTCATTAGATTAGTAAATGACACCATTGTAATCCCCGTCAGGAAAATGGATTGTTAGACTTTTAAATTATTGTTGGAGTCCGTTATATCCATTGAAACGTACTGGTACTAATTTCAGTGGCAATCTTTGTTCTTCCTACCTGTGTTGGCTGAGACACTGCAGACAGATACAGCTAGAAGGCAAATGCATTTTAGATTAAAATCAGTAGTAGCTAATAGTAGTAAGTAATGTTGTCACTATCATTTATATATATACAGTATATAGCCCCACTTTTTAAATTTAGAAACACCTACTGCTTCTTCATTTAGACACATAGTACTAGACACATGACAGAAGGAAACACTACTTCTGATGTAACTGCACACTAGGGACAGACGTCTCCCCAACTCACTCGTGTGTGCACACCAACACACATCACACAACATATCCTCAATGTTGCTGTGATAAATGATTGCAGAGGGACAAATGTAAGCACCCACAATGTTCTAGAAGAGAGACCGAGAGAGAGGTTAAAGGGCTTGGGGCCAGTGTTCAGTGAGAGCTTTGACATGGTCACTGGTTTGAATGAGGGGGGACAAGTCACAGCGTTCGGTCTCTCATCCCCTCTCCTTTTACTCCACAGGAATCTGTTAGGCCTCATCCACAGGATGATAGAGTTTGTGGTGCGTGAGGGACCCATGTTTGAAGCCGTCATTATGAGCAAAGAGAAGAACAACCCTGACTTGAGGTGAGCTGCCATTGCTGAGCTCTCCCTTTCCCTCTAGTCACACCACTGGTCTAAAGATATCTTTTTAAACTCGTGTTTCTATTCATGATTTCAGGTTCCTTTTTGACAACAAAAGCCAAGACCATGTGTACTACCGCTGGAAACTCTACTCCATTCTCCAGGTAGGTCATGCTCTTAATCTGGCCTGGCTACACCCCTATGACCATGAGTCCATCTCAAATAAAATGTTATTTGTCACATGCGCTGAATACAACTGGTGTACTTTACCATGAAATTCTTTCTTACGAGCCATTCCCAACAATGCAGAGTTAGTAACACAATTAGAATAACATACACAAGCATGAAGCTATATACAGAGAGTTTCAGTACCAGATCAATGTGCAGGGGTACGAGATATTTGAGGTAGATATGTACATGAAGGCAGGTTAAAGTGACTAGGCATCAGGATAGATTATAAAGCGTAAAATAAAGAACAGTACCCACTACACCTCTACTGCGCCTCATCCGTATCCCTCTCCCTCCATCCCCAGGGTGAGCCCCCCAGTGAGTGGCGGACGGCAGACTTCCGGATGTTCCGTGGGGGCTCCATCTGGAGGCCGCCCCTCCTAAACCCCTACCTCCATGGAGACGAGGAGGCGGGAGACGAGGAGGAGTCTCCCTCCCAGGAGGAGGAGCTGAAGAAGGGCCAGCTCAAGACTGAGTAAGTGTTGCTGTACACACAGAGGCAGGTTCTGAGGCAGATTGAAGATAAAAGGCATTCTCTCATGGAATTGACATGTTATTGGAAATATCGACATTCTCAGGATAATAATGAATGCGTATTTTTATTCCAGGCACAGAGAGAGACTAGAGACGCTGCTGAGAGGACTCACCCCTCGTAGGGAGGACGTTGGTGATGCTATGCTGTTCTGTCTGGAGAGAGCAGAGGCAGCAGAGGAGGTGGTGGGGTGCATCGCAGAGTCCCTGTCCCTCCTTCAGACACCACTACAGAAAAAGGTCCCTTATCCTATGACAGTCTTACATGATCAACCACATTCACATGGCATACAGTATATACCCCCAAAAAATATAATCAACGGCCCCTGGAGCAAAGGGTTACGTGCCTGGCTCAAGGCACATCGACAGGTTTTTCCACCTTGTCGGTTACTGACCCAACGCTAACCGCTAGGCTACCTGCCGCCCAGATTATTACTCACAATCATCATGTCTATCTTTATTCCCACAGATTATTACTCCCAATCATCATGTCTATCTTTATTCCCACAGATTGCAAGACTGTACCTTGTATCCGACATCTTGTACAACTCCTGTGCCAAAGTTGCCAATGCATCTTATTATCGCAAATTGTAAGGAAAGTCTATTTGAAATACGTTTGTCATTATATAATACACATGCTCTGTGGTCATACTGTGTCCTTCTGTTTAAGGGTTTTCACTGTTTCTCTGTTCCTTCAGTTTTGAAGCAAAATTGCCCCAGATATTTGGTGACATTAGTGATGCATATCGAAACATACAAGCAAGACTACAAGCTGAACAGTTCAAGGTAATGAGTGTAGTTTAAAAAAATGATAACGCTTTATAACCTTTTTCCATGCTTGTGATTTGTTGTTGCCTTGGCCAGAACAAATACATTAACGCTCACCCACATGTCTTCTCTCCTCAGCAAAAGATAATGGGCTGTTTCAGGGCCTGGGAAGACTGGGCCGTATACCCAGAGTCTTACCTGATCCAGCTACAGAACATCTTCCTGGGTCTGATCAAGGCAGGAGAGGAGGTGATCGAGAGGGTAGAGGTGAGCTGGATCTCAGGACCTGTCCTGGACAAGACCTGGAAAATAGTTTTGATCAATGCCTATTTGATTGATGACACTGTTACATTCTCTGATAGTGTGTGTAAATATACAATGCAGCTAGAAGCAGAGCTGAATTTAGCGACATTGGTTTATGTGGGCTGGGCATATCTCACCTCAGGTGGCGTCTCCAGACCTGGATGGGGCGCCGTTAGACGGAGCTCCGCTTGACGACCTTGACGGCTCGCCCCTGGCCTGGGACCCTGCCTCCCTGGATGGGGTGCCTGTTGATGACATCGACGGGGTTCCCCTCGGTGCACCCATGGACGACATTGACGGAATGCCTTGTAGGTCAATCTGGCAGAATTTTTGTGGAAAATGGAAACAATTAAAACGTTATAAGATGTGGACTTGATGTAAGTTTGTGTTCTGCAGTGGATGACCTGGCCCACTCCAGAGTGGCTCTGTCTAAATGGGAGAGGGTGGACGATGCTGATGCTCTCCCACAAGGTACTGTACTGTCAGCACTGTAAACCCAACAATAATATCTCTACTAGAGCTGGGCTCACTCTGCCTCTTCCTCTTTCAGCTAACACTGAATCCAAATGGGACACTTTGGGAGAGCGAGACTTGGGGGACGACCTGAATGCAAGGTAAGAACCTGGTGCAGGCACTCTTTTCCCATCACTCAAGATCATACGAATGGTTGGAAACCCAACTCCTCACAGAGTAACTGTGATGTAGCATGTCCTGCAGTGCTGCTGTAGAGCAGTGTTTTCCAGCTCCAGGACCCCCAACAGTAACCCTGGACAAAGAAAACCCTGATTAAACTTGTCAAGGGCTTAATGATTAGTTGACAAGTAGAATAAAGTGTGCTTGTTCAAGGCCACAACAAAGAAATGTACTGTTGGGGGTACTGGAGGACTTAGTGGCTCTTCTCATCTTCTCTCCCCCTGGTCCACAGTGCTAACATTAAGGGAGGAGATGGGGAGTCCGAGGATGACAGCAGCGATGATGATAGCCCCTCTAAGTACGACAGTGCTGACTTCAAGAGCTCCCTCAGCAGTTTTGAGATGTCAGAGAGCAAGAGGAGCCGGCTGAGGGAGCTGGAGGCAAGCACACACCAATGTAACACAACACACAACACAGTGCAGCAGACCTTCAGACTCAGTCCATACCGGTCAACCGACTAATATTAATAATAATACATACAGTGCCTTCAGAAAGTATTTATACCCCTTGACTTATTCCATATTTTGCTGTGTTACAGCCTGAATTCAAAATGGATTAAATGTGATTTCTCACATCTACCATAATGGCAATTATAAACTGTCTGGTTCGAGCCCTGAATGCTGATTGGCTGAAAGCTGTGGTATATCAGACCGTATACCATGGGTATGACAAAACATTTATTTTTACTGTTCTAATTACGTTGGTAACCAGTTTTTAATAGCAATAAGGCACCTCGGGCGTTTGTGGTATATTGCCAATATACCATGGTTAAGGGCTGTATACAGGCACTCCGCGTTGCGTCGTGCTTAAGAACAGCCCTTAGCTGTGGTATATTAGCCATATACCACACCCCTCGTGCCTTATTGCTTAAATACCCCATAATGGCAAAGTGAAAAAATATTTTAGCTAATGTGGTCCTCTGTAGCTCAGCTGGTAGAGCACGGCGCTTGTAACGCCAAGGTAGTGGGTTCGATCCCCGGGACCACCCATACACAAAAATGTATGCACGCATGACTGTAAGTCGCTTGGATAAAAGCGTCTGCTAAATGGCATATTATTATTATTATTATTTAATTTATTGAAAATGAAATAGAGAAATATCTAATTTAAATAAGTATTCACACCCGAGTCAATACTTTGTAGATGCACCTTTGGCAGAGATGACAGCTGTGAGTCTTTCTGAATTGTGCAAAATTTGCCCATTTATTATTTTCAAAATTCTTCAAGCTCTGTCATATTGGTTGTTGATCATTGCTAGACAACCATTTTCAGGTCTTTCCATAGATTTAAGTAGATTTAAGTCAAAACTGTAACTCGGCCACTCAGGAACATTCACGGTCTTCTTGGTAAGCAACTCCAGTGTAGATTTGGCCTTGTGTTTTAGTTGAATTCATCTCCTAGTGTCTGGTGGAAAGCAGACGGAACCAGATTATCCTCTAGGATTTTGCCTGTGCTTAGCTCCATTCCGTTTCTTTTTTTATCCTGATTGCTTTGCCACATTTTTTGCAGTATTACTTAAGTGCCTTGTTTCAAACAGGATGCATGTTTTGGAATATTTTTTTGTATGTACAGGCTTCCTTCTTTTCACTCTGTCAATTAGGTTGATCCACCCTCAGTTTTCTCCTATCTCAGCCATTAAATCTGTAACTGTTTTAAAGTCACCATTGGCCTCCTGGTGAAATCCCTGAGCAGTTTCCTTCCTGTCCGGTAACTGAGTTAGGAAGGACGCCTGTATCTTTGTAGTGACTGGGTGTATTGATACACCATCCAAAGTTTAATTAATAACTTCACCATGCTCAAAGGTATATCCAATGTCATTTTTTTTACCCATCTACCAATAGGTGCCATTTATAACATTTTTAAATTTTAGTCATTTAGCAGACGCACTTATCCAGAGCGACTTACAGGAGCAATTAGGGTTAAGTGCCTTGCTTAAGGGCACATCGACAGATTTCTTACCTAGTTGGCCTGGGGATTAGAACCAGCGACCTTTCGGTTACTGGCACAACGCTCTTAACCACTAAGCTACCTATAAGGCATTGGAAGACCTCCCTGGTCTTTATGGTTGAATCTGTGTTTAAAATTCACTGCTCGACTGAGGGACCTTACAGATAATTGTATGTGTGGGGTACAGAGTTGAGGTAGTTATTCAAAAATCATGTTAAAACACTGATTGCACACAGTCCGTGTGTCTTGTTATGCACATTTTTACTCCTGAACTTTAGGCTTGCCATAACAAAAGGGGTTGAATACTTGACTCAAGACATTTAAGCTTTTCATTTTTAAATAATTTGTTAAAATGTTGACATTTTGTGGTATTGGTGTAAGCTAGTGACAACTTCAGCCTGTAACACAAGATGTGGAAAAAGGGGTGTGAATACTTTCTGAAGGTACTGTAGGTCTTCTATAGCGCTTTTCAAAACCCGAACACACTTAGCTAATATTCTATTCTTGAAAGCAGTTGATTTCCATTCATTTATGCAACAATTGGACCCACTGTCCAAACAGTACGAATGTATGTATAGTATCTTATATTTACTCAAGTGTCTCTGCTGCAGGTGAAGGTGATGAAGTTCCAGGATGAGCTGGAGTCTGGGAAGAAGCCCAGGAAGTCACAGATGAACATGCAGAAACAGGTGGAGCACTACAGGAACAAGCTGCTACAAAAGGTGGGTCTCTAGTGTACTTGTATTTCATATAAGCCCAGCAGTAAGGGAAACTGTCCAGATACCATGAAGTTGCAGGTTTAAAATGTGACAAAAAAAAACCCAGTTGCAATGGATCCACATGTTCTCTGTTCACCTCCAGGAGTTCGATAAGGATGACAAGGAGAAGAGAGAGAGATCCATTCCGAAGTCAAAAGACCGATCAAAGAAGGATGAGAGGAGAGACAAGGCAGAGGAGAGCAGTAAAGCACGGGACAAGGAGAAGAGTAAAAGAAGTCAAGACAGGGACAGGGGACGGAGTAGAGACACAGAGGAGCGGACACAGAAATACAGAGGACATTCTCCCTCAAAGTAAGGCCTGTGTGAAACCACTGTTTGTGTTCAGCATTCTATATATTTGTGCTGACTGACTCACCCCTATCCCACCCTTCCAAACAGAATCAAGTCAAAGTCTCCCAAGAAGTCCAAGCGGTCCCGGTCGCCCTCGCCAGTCAGGAAGACGTGGAGGAGGTCTAGCTCCCGGTCACCACACCGCTCCCACAAAAAGACAAAGAAGAGCAAACACTGATCCTGAGGCCTATGCCTCTCCTGAAGCAGCCAGGCGGCTTTCATGGGCTGCCCTGCTCCGCCAGTGCTGACCACGCCACGGCGCTACACGCTTCTTTCCCCACAATGCCTCTGGACTGTCTCTGCAGACCAACTGACAGCTGTTTGTTTCCCTCTGCAGTGAAGATTTGGCAGTTTTTTTGTAAGATGACATTTGAACATTATTTGTACAGTTCTATTTGTTTTGTTTTCCCGTCAGGTTGTTTTTAAACCCCATTCAGATTGCGACTAGTCCCTGAGACAATAAATCACTCTTGGCAATGTGTCTGTGTTGTCGTCCATGCTCCAGGATGGGGAATGGATTAGCTGAGGGTACCACATGTCATGTCCAGTCATTTAGCCTTTCTAAACAGTATTGGAAACTAGTATTGAAAGGTTTTTACACTCATCTCGATGGAAAAAAATACAATGAGAGCACTTTATAAATGAGAACCATTATCCTTAAAGTGGTTCTGTTTTATTTTTCATTATACAAACACTGACAAAGACACAGATTTGTAACCAAAATGATTGGAGATATGCTTAGTTTTAATTTTAAAACCGAGTCATTCCTGGCAAGAAGGAGAGGGTACTAGAAAAGCAGTGAAGTTCAGAGTAAGACGGTGTGCCCCTTAACTGACAAAAAGCTTACATTAGTGTCTTAACCATCCACCCCTCAGTTTGCACTTGTTTAACCAGATTGTTTCTGGTCCTACTATACAGTCTGATCCAGTCTCACAAACCTGCTTTACTTTAAACAGTGCACTTGTTCTGTGTAAAAAAAAAAAAAAAAAGAAGAAATGTGACAGGACATTCGTGAGCCGCTTCCTCCATTTACAGTTCACTTCCGCCGCCTTCCCATCATCCTCTACTTTAGGGTCCCTGTTCTCCGTAGGGTAACACCTCCCTCCCGGAGCACTCACCAGTAGAAAATTGGCCGCTTTTAGAAAAATTGGTAGGGCAGCGGGTTGCTCTGCCTCCATGGTAGGACTGTACACTGACAGAGTTCAGTATATGTTCAGGGTGAAGCCTTTAAGGCAGAAGTGCTCAGTACTTTTTTACATTGATGAAAACCTTAATGGCGCCAGTGAAGTCAGCAGAGAGCAGAACCTCTGTATGATCGGTCTTCAGAGCCCCTGTGGAAGAGAAATACCATGTTAAGCATTGAAAGTATACAAGTGTTTTACTATCCACTCAACACATACCATCTATCACTTTATGAGGAGCCCCTCTGATTAGTCTCTCAGCATACAGAAACGGGTATCTAAATCGGCATACTGTACCTGAGGGAATGGTCTCGGAATCAGTGGAGTCCAAGCTTTTACACTCTGCATCGGCCCCAGCCCCCGCTTTCTCTGCCCCTGCCTCCTGGGGGACGATCAGGTTAGGATGGGGTGCGAAAATGGCCGACGTCACTACTGCATTGTGGGCTGAAAGACAAGACACTGGACTTAGTGGAGGGACACTACAATCAAACTAGACTGTTTCATATCACCAACAGTAAAGACCTGAGCACCACTACAGTATCTAGGTACCTTTAATTCCCTCCCAGAAGTCATTGCGGTCTCGTCGTACGGAGGTAAACTTGCTCAGGTCGTGGTAGGTGCTCCAGATGTACACACACTTGTCTTCTGAGCCACTCACAATGAATGAATAGTCATGGCTGGAAAATAAAGAGAGAAGCAGTTCCTTATGGTTTGTTTACCGGCAACATTGAAGAACAACATGGCGGACTGAGGAGGAGCTGTTCTCACCTGAAGCTGGCTTTGATCTGACTACTGCTGTTGACATAACCCTTGTACTTCATGGACAGAGACAGGTCCCTTAGGTCATACAGGCGGATCCTGCAGTCATTGGAGGTTACCAGAATCTAATAACAAAATAAAGAGACTTAGCTAATGGACAGCTGTCACTAGCAATGTACCCTCTAATTTTAAGTTAGTTTCAGACAGTGGTCAAGTAGGCTACTTTGGCTATTTGATCATAATGTAGGCCTACCAGAGTGGCCTACCATCAAAAACTATTGAGAAAATGCATCCCATAACATTTTAACATGATAGCTGTTCTATCATTCAGCCTACAGTAGCAGCCAATGTGTGGTGTTCAATGTAGGCCTACATTCCATGAGACTTTTGAAAAAACATGCAGGGCTTGACATTAACCTGCTCATCCACTTGTCCTTTAGGCAAGGAGGTGACTGAAAATGTTGTGTTTGATGCAAGAAACCACTTTACAAAATAAAATGCATTATTATTCCCATACCATTATTACAGAGAATCAGACAAATGATGTAACCCTCTGCCTATTGGCTACTTAGCTTATTCAAGCCTGTCTCAAAATACAACACTGCCCCTTTAAGACAAAAAAAAAAGCTCTTTACCTAACTGACTTTTCAAAGATGTCTCGAAATTTACTCGTTTTGTGCTCTTGTAGGAAGCAATCACTCCCCCATTGCTGACTACAAATTAGCTATAACTGGGCTAATAACTCACTAACTAACAAAGGATATGAACAAAATGTGCACACGTGGCTACATGCAGCTCTCGCTTTGATCTCAGAACAAGCGCATCTACTCACGACCACTCACGCTGTAAACAGTCCAGTTCAAAGTGAATGGCACAGATCCATACAGTGCATTCGGAAAGTATTCAGACCCCTTGACTTTTTCCACATTTTGTTACATTACAGCCTTATTCTAAAATGGATTAAATAGTTTCCCCCCCCCTCATCAATCAACACACAATACCCCATAATGACTAAACAAAAACAGGTTTATAGACATTTTCGCAAATGTATATTAAAAAAAAACCTGAAATATCACATTTACCTAAGTATTCAGACCCTCTACTCAATACTTTGTTGAAGCACCTTTGGCAGCAATTACAGCCTCGAGTCTTCTTGGGTATGACGCTACAAGCTTGGCACACCTGTATTTGGGGAGTTTCTCCCATTCTTCTCTGCAGATCCTCTCAAGCTCTGTCAGGTTGGATGGGGAGCGTCTCTGCACAGCTATTTTCAGGTCTCTCCAGAGATGTTCGACCGGGTTCAAGTCCGGGCTCTGGCTGGACCTCATAGCAAAGGTTCTGAATACTTACGTAAATACATTTGTTTTTTATTTGTAAAAATGTCTAAAAACCTGTTTTCGCTTTGTCATTATGGGGTATTGTATGTAGATTAAGGAGGATTATATATATGTTTAATCCATTTCAGAATAAGGCTGTAACGTAACAAAATATGGAAAAAGTCAAGGGGTCTGAATACTTTCCGAATGCACTGTATATGGCAATGGTCTATTTGCATATAGGCCTACTGCAGCTCTGATTGGTTATGCCGCAACGGTCTGTGTAGAGTAGGGCTGAGTCGTGTGTTTCAATGCAATAGAATCCTACTCCGATGCGTTCTGCCTACAACAAAATATATTGCGTAGTTAGTTATGCATACTTAAGTCTTGCATAGTTTGTTTTGGTATGTTGCATTGAAAGTGGCTAATATTGCGTTGATTCGATCACAATTCCCACAGTAAAGGGAAATGTTAACACTATTAACTAAGGGGGAAAACTCGAGAAAGTTGAGTGAAGTTCAATCTTGTGCTTCTCTGTGTGGGCTGATATTTCTTCTGCGCGGCAGTCCCGGGAGCTGCATGCCCACACACGCGCGCAGCTTAGTGGGAACACTAGTATGTCATCTCCAGAGAGACATGTCTGTGGAAAGTTCATCAGGAGCATGGCTATACCTTGTTCTCTCCAGGCAGAGGCTCGATGCCTGTGATTTTCCGTCCCACTCGGTTCCTGCCTCTGGTCGACCGTACGTGGATCTGGGTGTGGTATTTAAGGCGCTGAAAAAAGAACCAACATTAGAAATGGTGAACCATTTCCAGTGTTCCTCATTTTCATAATTATGTAATAATGATTCTTCACTAGTCCTTCAAACTTGAGGAACAGTGTATAATTCTCCCTCCACTGTACCTCTGTGTCGTAGAAGATGCAGCGGCCATCGTAGGTGCCGATGACAGCGTACTTCCCATTCTGGCAGAAGTTGGCAGCAGTGATGAGGCGTGTTTGTCCGTCCACCTCGTTCCACAGAGCCACCTTCTTGTCTGGGATGTTCCACAGACGCAGTTTCCCATCCAGAGAGCCACTCAGGAAGTACCTGTCATCCTAGGAGAAATAACAGATGATTAGTCTGGCTCTCAGTCTCAGAACACAAATAGAGCCAACTCACTCTGCACAGGTCCATACTTAAACCTAAACGCGCACTAACAAAGGCACACAAGCTCACAGACGCCCACTTACTCTGGGATGGAAAGCGATGGCAGTGACAAAGTCAATATGCTGAAAGCAGCATAGACACTCTCTCCTAGATATGTGCCACAGTCTGACCGTCTTATCCATCGACGAGGAAAGCAGGAAGTAGTTCTGAAATCAAAGAACACAGGGAATATTAGGACACAGTGTACAGACATTTGGGAGTGTTGTTTTTTTAAACGGGGAGGAGGAAAGGGCTTTGGAGTCTCACCTTTGACCAGGACAGGTCAAGCAAGTCAGCTGTATGACCCTTGTACTTGCAGAAGGGGACTTGGCGGAAAGGGAGATTCTTGTCCTCAGGGTCTTCAGGAACACTGCTCATCTGGGAACAGAAGACACTGTTGTCTATCAGACTGGTGCTGAGGTCTCAACGTTAACACTGATTAAGTTTGACCTTCTAGACAACTGGGTGTGATTGAGATATGACTTCCTCCTTTAGTGGTTTGAGTTAACACAAATAAACCATGCATCTGATTATAAAACAGACGGGTCCTAACCTTACTCACCCCACCATCCGTGTCTGATTTGGAGGAACACAGGCTTTCCTGAGAGGGAGAGGGCGACACACGACCTGGTTGAGAGAGAACATAAGGGGAAAACCATGAAGAACCCACCAAACAAGCATTACATTTACCAAAGGTGAGGTAGAGAGAGAAACTACCTACCTTCAGTGTTGTACTTTGCCCTCATGTTGTTGAAGTAGTCAAAGGCATTTTTCAGAACCCAGATTCGCACCACGTTGTCCTGGCCTGCTGTCGCCAACAGCCTGCCGCAGTGAGAGAACTTCATGGTCCACACTGCACCCTGAGGGCACAACAGAACAAGCGTTTGGCAAATATACATATACTCACGTTTTACATCCACATTCATGGTAACATATGCTTCAGTCATGGCAGTAGTCGATTGTTTAATGGAAAGAAAGCACTGACACATTAACATACACTCAAAACACACACAATCTTACCATGTGCTCTCCGCTCAGGTCCTGGACCACCTTGACCTGATCAAAGTCGAAGGGGCCCTTGAAGCTGTGGGCTGCCTTGAACTTGACAGGCCGGGTGTAGGGCATCCCCTCATCGTCACTGGACGATGGGTCATCCTGGTCGTTATGGAACACTGAGACAACAACCACGCAGTGAGACTAAACAGCAGCAACACTACTGACCAACTGACGAAGAGCAAATACAAAAGGATATCCATCATGAAAACAAGCAGGCATGTGATTGGGGTGGGGGAGGGCTGTGGGGGAGGGCATACCTTCATCACGGACACTCTTCACCTTGTTGACGGCCTTCTCCCCATACTCCTCAGCCAGATGCTTGGCCCTCTTCACAGACTTGCCCAGGAACTTCTTCAGCCGTGTGCTGGGGGAGTGAAGACATAGGAGACATAAAACTCCATGGACTTCATCACAGGCTCTGTCACAGCAGCAGAGAGGAAAGACCGTAACCACAGCATGAGGCAGGGCACTGTTCCAGCTCTTACGTTTTCTGTTTCAACTTCCCTCCGTCTGTGTCGGTCAGCGGAGCCTGGACCCTGTCATCATCATCGGACTGTGCTGCATCATTCCTGACAGGAAAAAAGGAACAAACAGTGACATCTTCTTTTGCAGTGCTGTATGGGAGTGCTGCCCACTATATCCTTACCAAAGCAATCTGTTAGCACAGGGGAATGAATTTACAGTGGGGAAAAAAAGTATTTAGTCAGCCACCAATTGTGCAAGTTCTCCCACTTAAAAAGATGAGAGAGGCCTGTAATTTTCATCATAGGTACACGTCAACTATGACAGACAAAATTAGAAAAAAAAATCCAGAAAATCACATTGTAGGATTTTTAATGAATTTATTTGCAAATTATGGTGGAAAATAAGTATTTGGTCACCTACAAACAAGCAAGATTTCTGGCTCTCACAGACCTGTAACTTCTTCTTTAAGAGGCTCCTCTGTCCTCCACTCGTTACCTGTATTAATGGCACCTGTTTGAACTTGTTATCAGTATAAAAAGACACCTGTCCACAACCTCAAACAGTCACACTCCAAACTCCACTATGGCCAAGACCAAAGAGCTGTCAAAGGACACCAGAAACAAAATTGTAGACCTGCACCAGGCTGGGAAGACTGAATCTGCAATAGGTAAGCAGCTTGGTTTGAAGAAATCAACTGTGGGAGCAATTATTAGGAAATGGAAGACATACAAGACCACTGATAATCTCCCTCGATCTGGGGCTCCACGCAAGATCTCACCCCGTGGGGTCAAAATGATCACAAGAACGGTGAGCAAAAATCCCAGAACCACACGGGGGGACCTAGTGAATGACCTGCAGAGAGCTGGGACCAAAGTAACAAAGCCTACCATCAGTAACACACTACGCCGCCAGGGACTCAAATCCTGCAGTGCCAGACGTGTCCCCCTGCTTAAGCCAGTACATGTCCAGGCCCATCGGAAGTTTGCTAGAGTGCATTTGGATGATCCAGAAGAGGATTGGGAGAATGTCATATGGTCAGATGAAACCAAAATAGAACTTTTTGGTAAAAACTCAACTCGTCGTGTTTGGAGGACAAAGAATGCTGAGTTGCATCCAAAGAACACCATACCTACTGTGAAGCATGGGGGTGGAAACATCATGCTTTGGGGCTGTTTTTCTGCAAAGGGACCAGGACGACTGATCCGTGTAAAGGAAAGAATGAATGGGGCCATGTATCGTGAGATTTTGAGTGAAAACCTCCTTCCATCAGCAAGGGCATTGAAGATGAAACGTGGCTGGGTCTTTCAGCATGACAATGATCCCAAACACACCGCCCGGGCAACGAAGGAGTGGCTTCGTAAGAAGCATTTCAAGGTCCTGGAGTGGCCTAGCCAGTCTCCAGATCTCAACCCCATAGAAAATCTTTGGAGGGAGATGAAAGTCCGTGTTGCCCAGCGACAGCCCCAAAACATCACTGCTCTAGAGGAGATCTGCATGGAGGAATGGGCCAAAATACCAGCAACAGTGTGTGAAAACCTTGTGAAGACTTACAGAAAACGTTTGACCTGTGTCATTGCACACAAAGGGTATATAACAAAGTATTGAGAAACTTTTGTTATTGACCAAATACTTATTTTCCACCATAATTTGCAAATAAATTCATTAAAAATCCTACAATGTGATTTTCTGGAATTTTTTTCTCATTTTGTCTGTCATAGTTGACATGTACCTATGATGAAAATTACAGGCCTCTCTCATCTTTTTAAGTGGGAGAACTTGCACAATTGGTGGCTGACTAAATACTTTTTTCCCCCACTGTATACAGTAGCTGTACGTTTTTTTACCATATACCAGGGATTGGTGTGAGCCCATGAGATATTAAACTATTTGAAGTAATAGGAGAGCAGTTCTTACGTGATGTACTCCTTAGTCCTCCTCATGATGTGTAATGTGAGTGGGTTGATCCCTGTAGGAAGCTTCTCCTCTGCCTGGATCAGAGGGATCTCCTCCCCAGTGTCCAGATTCTTGATCATCACACTCGCCAGGATCTCCTATTACAGAGATAACACAGCCAATCAATGAATTTGAAACACAAACACTCAAAAAGGGTATGTGTAGACAGAAGAACCTGTACAAAAGGAGCTGATGGCTGGATGAATGGAAGATACAGAGACGAGGATATGTACCTCATCTGTCAGCTCTCTACCAGAGTTGGAGCGTGGGCGCTGAGGACCTAGAGAGTCATCAATGGGACCGGATGCCTGCTCATCCTCATTCTCCTGTGGGAACACACGCACACATTAACTAAGAGAAAGGGGTATTCAAAATTGTTAAAGGCCTGTTGAAAGAGGAGAACATAGAACAAAAAGTAAATCCACACACTGGTATGTTGCTCCCAAAGTGTTTAATCAGAAAAGGAGAACATTTTAACCCGAAACTGGGTCTTCGTCAGGACAAAGTGTTCACCAAGTGCAGAAGAATATATACAGTACATTAGCTTCCTGGGCAACAATTAGTTGACCTGTGCACTGTGCCAATGGAAAGCATGGGAAACAAATGACCACTGACCTGTGCTGTGACCACCTTGTCCCCACTGGTGGCGCTGGCCATGTCCAGAGAGTGCTGCAGATCCTTGGTGATGCCTCTCACTGTGCTACTGGGAGACACCAGGCCACACGGCTCCTCTGCACACACTGGCCAATCACACAGCAGACATGCAGGGTCAAAGGTCAACACAGTAACCTAGTCTCCATGGTTAAACAATAAAATTACCTAAAACCTTAATATTAATAGAAATTATCATTAGTAGGTGTGGGGACAGAAGTGAACATTTGTGAGAACAGTTATGAGAGGTCAATGTGTTAAGCACAATGTATTTACTCTATGCAGGAATTTTTTTTATTGACATGCATATCAGCATTCAGTCTATTGACCTTATGCTATTGGGTGTGTGGAGAAACAAGAACAGCGTTATTTACCTTCCAGTCCTGTGGGACTCATACACTCCTGGGACTTCTTGCTGAGGGGTAGAGCAGGTCGGGATGGGGGAGGCGGTCGTGGAGGAGGAGCTCCGCTGGGAGGGGGTGGGCGTGAGGGTGGAGGCTTCTTGGTGCTGGCCACAATGTCAGGCTCTACAGTGAATTGCCGTGGGGGTTTAGAAGGCCCAGGGTCGGTGGAGTCAGCCGGCTTCTTGTCTGTGAGGGGGACCTGGTCTAGGATGTCTGCTGGTATCTGCTCCCTGTCCTCTGCAGACACCCGTGGCAGGTCAGGGAGGTCTGGTTGACTCTGGCCCTGCCCCAGGGTGCTGGTGATGTCTGGGGGCTGGACGTGCTCCTGTGACCCAGACGACGGGCCGGGGATGTCTGGGAGAGCCATGGAACACACTCCCTGCTGTTCCTGAGGCTGCTCTGATCTCTCAACCACAGGCTGAGGTTCCACAGCAGGATGCTCTGGTTCTACAGGGGCCTCATTCTCCTTCTTCACCTCTGACTCTGACCTTGTATCAACATCCCTCTCTCCCATCAGCAGAGCCTCCTCCGCCACACTTCCCTTCTGGCTCTCCTCAATGATGCTGTCGATGATCTAGGAGGAACAAGACATCACAGATGAAAAAATCATCAGAAGTGAAACAGGATGTTCCTCTAATGAGGAGTTTGTCCTAGTATTGTGTGGTCCTAGCAGTGTTCAGTGCATTCGGAAAGTATTCAGACCCCTTAACTTTTTCCACATTTTGTTATGTTACAGCCTTATTCTAAAATTGATTAACATATTTTTTCCTCAATCTACACACTATACCCCATAATGACAAAGCAAAAACAGGTTCAGAAATTTTGGCAAATGTATTACAGATAAAAAACAGAAATACCTTATTTACATAAGTATTCAGACCTTTTGCTATGAGAATCGAAATTAAGCTCAAGTGCATCCGGTTTCCATTGATCATCCTTGAGGTTTCTACAACTTGATTGGAGTCCACCTGTGGTAAATTCAATTGATTGGACATGTGTGTGCCTTTCCAAATCATGTCTATATAAAAGGTCCCACAGTTGACAGTGCATGTCAGAGCAAAAACCAAGCCATGAGGTCGAAGGAATTGTCCGTAGAGCTCCGAGACAGGATTGTGTCGAGGCACAGATCTGGGGAAGGGTCCCAAAACATTTCTGCATCATTGAATGTCCCCAAGAACACAATGGCCTCCATGATTCTTAAATGGAAGAAGTTTGGAACCACCAAGACTCTCCCTAGAGCTGGCCACCCGGTCAAACTGAGCAATCGGGGGAGAAGGGCCTTCGACAGGGAGGTGACCAAGAACCCAATGGTCACTCTGACAGCGCTCCAGAGTTCCTCTGTGGAGATGGGAGAACCTTTCAGAAGGACAACCATCTCTGCAGCACTCCACCAATCAGGCCTTTATGGTAGAGTGGCCCGACGGAAGCCACTCCTCAGTAAAAGGCACATAACAGCCCGCTTGGAGTTTGCCAAAAGGCACCTAAAGGACTCTGACCATGAGAAACAAGATTCTCTGGTCTGATGAAACCAAGATTGAACTCTTTGGCCTGAATGGCAAGCGTCACGTCTGGAGAAAACCTGGCACCATCCCTACGGTGAAGCATGGTGGTGGCAGCATAATGCTGTGGGGATGTTTTTCAGTAGCAGGGACTGGGAGACTAGTCAGGATCGCGGGAAAGATGAACAGAGCAAAGTACAGAGAGATCCTTGATGAAAACCTACTTCAGAGTGCTCAGGATCTCAGACTGGGGTGAAGGTTCACCTTCCAACAGGACAACAACCCTAAGCACACAGCAAAGACAACGCAGCAGTGGCTTCAGGACAAGTCTCTGAATGTCCTTGAGTGGCCCAGCCAGAGCCCGGACTTGAACCCGATCGAACATCTCTGGAGAGACCTGAAAAGAGCTGTGCAGCGATGCTCCCCATCCAACCTGACAGAGCTTGAGAGGATCTGCAGAGAAGAATTGGAGAAACTCCCCAAATACAGGTGTGCCAAGCTTGTAGCGTCATACCCAAGAAGACTCAAGGCTGTAATCGCTTCCTAAGGTGCTTCAACAAAGTACTGAGTAAAGGGTCTGAATACTTATGTAAATGTGATATTTGCTTTTATTTTTTTTATAAATAAGCAACATTTTCTAAAACCCAGTTTTTGCTTTGTCATTATGGGGTATTGTGTGTAGATTGAGCATTATATATACATTTTTTTTTAAATCAACTTTACAATAAGGCTGTAATGTAACAAAATGAAGGGGTCTGAATACTTTCCAAATGCACTGTATTCTCTGATAAACAGCATTGGGGGCTTTCCCCACACTTAAGGTGAAAGAGGGATGCAGAGAAGGATTACAGACAGACACGTTGAGGGGCTGTGTGCGTTGATCTTAAAGAGCGACTGCCCTAAAAACCAACTAATCCCTTTGAAAACGGCCTATGTGGCATCAATACGAGTCAGAAACATTTATTATAGTGTCAAAATTGACTACAAAGTGTAAATAGAATCATTGAGAAACAGAAAAATATTTTTTCCATAAAATGTTTGAATTTAACTAGTTTTCATTGACAAAGCAGATAAAGCGTTTTTATCAAAGCAATCACTTTTCCATGTGAAAACACAGAATCCTCCTCATCACTCCACATGCTTGATTACGTCCCTTTTGTTTTGAGCCGACTTCACCGTCGACCAGAGCGGGGAACTTGGCTCACGCCTGGGAGCCAAGTGCATTCACTTTTCACTCTGTTCAAACTCCTCCCACCGGGTTAACCCAGGCCAGAAAAACGAACCCCCTCCATGGGGAGCCGTTATTTCATTGCCCCCAATGCATTCAAAGGATCACGGTCGTTTGTGACTGAAAAGCCCTATATGGATTGACCAACTATGCCCTGCCGAAGGACGCCATCATGCAGAATAGGTGGTTGGAGTTAGTTGGTCCCCGGAGCAGTGGTGGTGAGTATACCGGTATCTAGACCATAGACTGGTAGTTATGTATATTTTGATAACCATGATCACTATCATTTCTAGCTGGCTAACGTTAGCCTATCACAATAAAACTCAGATTTCAACATTCACATGGCCGTGGGGCCAGACGGATTACCAGGACGTGTCCTCAGAGCATGCGCAGACCAACTGGCAAGTGTCTTCAGTGACATTTTCAACCTCTCCCTGACTGAGTCTGTAATAACTACATGTTTCAAGCAGACCACCATAGTCCGTGTGCTCAAGAACGCGAAGGTAACCTGCCTAAATGACTACCGCCCCGTGGCACTCACATCGGTAGCCATGAAGTGCTTTGAAAGGCTGGTCATGGCTCACAACACCATCATCCCAGAAACCCTAGACCCACTCCAATTCGCATATTGCCCCAACGATCCACAGATGACACAATCAATTGCACTCCACACTGCCCTTTCCCACCTGGACAAAAGGAACACCTATGTGAGAATGCTTTTCATTGACTACAGCTCAGCGTTCAACACCATAGTGCCCACAAAGCTCATCACTAAGCTAAGGACCCTGGGACTAAAAACTCCCTCTGCCACTGGATCCTGGACTTCCTGACGGGCCACCCCCAGGTGGTAAGGGTAGGCAACAACACATCTACCACGCTGATCCTCAACACAGGGGCCCCTCAGGGGTGCATGCTTAGTCCCCTCCTGTACTCCCTGTTCACCCACGACTGCGTGGCCAAGCACGACTCCAACACCATCATTAAGTTTGCCGACGACACAACGGTGGTAGGTCTGATCACCGACAACGATAAGACAGCCTATAGGAAGGAGGTCAAAGACCTGGAAATGTGGTGCCAGGAAAACAAGCTCTCCCTCAACATGAGCAAGACGAAGGTGCTGATCGTGGGCTACAGGAAAAGGAGGGCCGAACAGGCCCCCATTCACATCAACGGGGCTATAGTGGAGCAGGTCGAGAGCTTCAAGTTCTTTGGTGTCCACATCACCAACGAACTATTATGGTCCAAACACACCAAGACAGTCGTGAAGGAGGTATATCTCACTGGTCATCCCCAAAGCCAACACCTCCTTTGGCCGCCATACCTTCCAGTTCTCTGCTGCAAATGACTGGAACGAACTGCAAAAATCTCTGACGCTGGAGACACTTATCTCCCTCACTATCTTTAAGCATCAGTTGTCAGAGCAGCTTACCGATCACTGCACCTGTACACAGCCCATCTGTAATTAGCCCACCCAACTACCTCATCCCCATATTGTTATTTATTTTGCTCATTTGCAACCCCAGTATCTCTATTTGCACATCATCTTCAGCACATCTATCACTCCAGTGTTAATACTAAATTGTAATTATTTTGCACTATGGCCTATTTATTGCCATACCTCCATAACTTACTACATTTGCACACACTGTATATAGATTTTCTATTGTGTTATTGACTGTACGTTTTGTTTATTCCATATGTAACTCTGTGTTGTTGTTTTTAAATCGCACTGCTTTGCTTTATCTTGGCCAGGTCGCAGTTGTAAATGAGAACTTGTTCTCAACTGGCTTACCTGGTTAAATAAAGGTGAAATAAAAAATTTAATTAAGAAGGGCACGACAACGCCTATTCCCCCTCAGGAGACTGAAAAGATTTGGCATGGGTCCCCAGATCCTCAAAACGTTCTACAGCTGCACCATCGAGAGCATCCTGACCAGTTGCGTCACCGCCTTGTATGGCGACTGCTCAGCATCCGACCGTAAGGCGCTACAGAGGGAAGTGTGTACGGCCCTGTGCATCACTGGGGCCAAGCTTCCTGCCATCCAGGACCTCTATACTAGGCAGTGTCAGAGGAAGGCCCAAAAAATTGTCAAAGACTCCAGTCACCCAGGTCATAGAGTGTTCTCTCTGCTACCGCACGGCAAGCGGTACCGGAGCCCTAAGTCTAGGTCCAAAAGGCTCCTTAACAGCTTCTACCCCCAAGCCATAAGACTGCTGAACAATTAATCAAATGGCCACCCGGACTATTTGCATAGACACACCACCCCCCCGCACTTTGTTTGTACACTGCTGCTACTCGCTGTTTATTATCTATGCATAGTCACTTTACCCCTACCTACATGTACAAATTACCTCAATTAGCTGTACCTCCGCACATTGACTCGGTACAGGTACCACCTGTATATAGCCTCGTTATTGTTACTTTTTTTTTTTTACTTGAGTAAAAAAAAGATTTACTCCATTTTCTGAAAACTGCATTGTTGGCTAAGGCCTTGTAAGTGAGCATTTCACAGTAATGTATTCGGCACGTGACAAATACAATTTGATATTTGATTTAGTAACAGTAATGGTAACTTTGGCAACTCTCTAAAGTAAATTTGAGGACATAATATGGCAAAGTTGTTTCCTCCTAATTATTTGCCTACTTTAGCCATGTCATGGTATTTCCATGTCACTAATAGTGTAAATTAGATGAAACCTTAACATTAGCCTCCGAGGTGCAACCCATGTCTAGGGCACAAATACATATTGGATGCAGCTCTGGTGGTACTACATAACTCATGTCTGACTACAACAGTGTACTAAATAGCAGCAACAAACTCAAACTAACCCAGTGCCATAGCAAAATATGTCACAGTTGGTTGCATAGTGTAACGGCATCACCGGCCTGAATCTAATCCAATCTGGAGCCAGTCAGTCTGTAAAGCATAGAATTAGCTTCCAAACGAGATTGTTATTTCTCGAGCTATGTTTATAATTGAAGGATGATGACAATCGTTGACCCTGTTTTTCCTGTTAGAAAGAATACCAAAAAAACAAAATCACACAAAAAAAATACAAAATAAAAGTAACAAATAAAGAGCAGCAGTAAAAAGAACAATAGCGAGGCTATATACAGGGGGTACCGGTACCGAATCAATGTGCGGGAGCACCGGTTAGTCGAGATAATTAAGGTAATATGTACATGTAGGTAAAGTGACTATGCATAGGTAATAAACAGAGAGTAGCAGCAGCATAAAGGGGGGGGCAATGCAAATAGTCTGGGTAGCCATTTGATTAGATGTTCAGGAGCCTCTTGGATCTAGACTTGGCGCTCCGGTACCGCTTGCCGTGCGGTAGCAGAGAGCACAGTCTATGACTAGGGTGGCTGGAGTCTTTGACAATTTTGAGGGCCTTCCTCTGACACCGCCTTGTATAGAGGTCCTGGATGGCAGGAAGCTTGGCACCAGTGATGTACTGGGCTGTACGCACTACCCTCTGTAGTGCCTTGCGGTCGGAGGCCGAGCAGTTGCCATACCAGGCATTGATGCAACCAGTCAGGATGCTCTCGATGGTGCAGCTGTAGAACCTTTTAAGGACCCATGCCAAATATTTTCAGTCTCCTTAGGGGGGAATAGGTTTTGTCATGCCCTCTTCAAGACTGTCCTGGTGTACTTGGACCATGTTAGTTTGTTGGTGATGTGGACACCAAGGAACTTGAAGCTCTTAACCTGCTCCACTACAGCCCCCTCGATGAGAATGGGGGCGTGCTCGGTCCTCTTCTTTTTCCTGTAGTCCACAATCATCTCCTTTGTCCTGAGCAGTGAATTTCAAACATATTCAACCACAAAAACCAGGGAGGTTTTCTAATGCCTCGCAAAGAAGAGCACCCATTGGTAGAATGCATGGTGCTCTTCATGGTGAAGGTATTAAATACACCTTGGACGGTGTATCAATACACCCAGTCACTACAAAGATACAGGCATCCTACCTAACTCAGTTGCCAGAGAAGAAGGAAAACCGCTCAGTGATTTCACCATGAGGCCAATGGTGACTTTAAAACAGTTACATAGTTTATTGGCTGGGATAGGAGAAATTTGAGGATGGATCAACAACATTGTAGTTACTCCACAATACTAACCTAATTGACAGAATGAAAAGAAGGAAGCCTGTACAGAATAAAAAATATTCCAAAACATGCATCCTGTTTACAAAAAGGCACTAAATTAATACTGCAAAGAATGTGGGAAAGCAATATTTGTTTTTGTCCTGAATACAAAGTGTTATGTTTGGGGCAAATCCAATACAACACATTTCTGAGTACCACTCGCCATATTTTCATGCATAATGGTGGCTGCATCATGTTATGGGGCGGCAGGTAGCTTAGTGGTTAAGAGCGTTGTGCCAGTAACCGAAAGGTTGCTGGTTCTAATCCCCAAGCCGACTAGGTGAAAAATCTGTTGATGTGCCCTTGAGCAAGGCACTTAACCCTAATTGCTCCTGTAAGTCGCTCTGGATATGAGCGTCTGCTAAATGACTAAAATGTTATGGGTATGCTTGTAATCGTTACAGACTAGGGAGTTTTCAGGATAAAAAAAGAAACGGAATGGAGCTAAGCACAGACAAAATCCTAGAGGAAGGCCTGGTTTAGTCTGCTTTCCACCAGACACTGGGAGATGAATTCACCTTTCAGCAGAACAATAACTTAAAACACAAGGCCAAATATATACTGGCGTTGCTTATCAAGTAGACAGTGAATGTTCCTGAGTGGCCGACTTAAAGTTTTTACTTAAATCTACTTGAAAATCTATGGTAAGACCTGAAAAAGGTTGTCTACTAATGATCAACAACCAATTTGACAGAGTTTGAAGAATGTTGAAAATAATAATGGGAAAATGTTGCACAATCCAGGTGTGGAAGCTCTTAGAGACTTTCCCAGAAAGACTCACCACTGTAATTGTTGCGAAAGGTGCTTCTACAAAGTATTAACTCAGGAGTGTGAAAACCTATGTAAATGAGATATTTCTGTATTTCATTTTCAATAAATTTGCTAAAATGAAAAAAACATATTTAATCATTTTTTTATTCAGGCTGTAACAAAACAAAATGTGGAATAAGTTAAGGGTTATGAATACTCTCTGAAGGCACTGTATGTGTTCACAGATACATGAGACCTGGCACTCAACACATCCACAATGAGGTGATTACTAATAATTCAGTATAGCACAAATGTCCAGTAATAGCAACACCCTTTTCATTCCATGTATCACTGATGAACTCTGCCTATTTCTGCAGATGGACTGGAGATGCTTTTGCCAGACGGCAGCCTCAGTCATTTGATGGGGAGACTATAACAGGGTAGGTTTTATCTGACCTGTTCAAACTTCGACACAGTACCTGTTTGTTTGTCAGTCAGATATTACCTATCCTATCCTAACTGTCATTGGTAATAGAACAGTGACTGTGTTCACAGAAACATGTATGGAGCCAGCACATGGAGACTTGATGGTCCAGACTGACAAACGGGCTTGATACTGATGTCTCTGAATGGAGAGAGACTTGGCACTCCGCATTCAAATTTGCCAAGGTAGCCCCATTACTACGAAACAAAATGCCAATAGGCACAGTATGTGTATCGACTGGGAATGACAATGAAAGATGCACATTGTTATATTAGCAGAACACTGCTTCTATGTTATTATGTTTATTCTACATGGACCTGTTACTACATTTGAAAGTTATCAAAACACTTCGTTTAGAATATCTACATAAATTCAGAAATTGCATTCTTCTCATATTACTCTGTAGGCTACTGACCTATTCAAAGCTTCCTCCGGCATCTCACCATACATCTGCCTGTAGTTGTTGAACTCAACCTGCAGGAGGTTTGTTTGATGTGATTGAGTGCGGGGAAACAGTTGCGGGCAAGGTTCTGACAGAAGGGTGTGTCAAGAAACACCCACATCAAACCACACCCCCAAGCCAACTCACGTTTGGCTTCCGTCATGGCCGCCAGCATTTATTGAGGAGCAAGCCAAAACACAGGTGCAGTTCCCCTTTAATGACCTAGACCACTTAGTGGTGTGATACACCCCTCACTGGCAGTGACTCCATAGAACAGTGACAGACTAGCCACATTTACATAAAGCCCAGAACCCAGCCACCATAAAAAAATAAACATTTAGACATGAACAACACATACTTAGGGGCTCAGTGACTATAAACAAATCACAGGGAATAAAACAACACTTTTTTCATAATGACAATCACAATGCCCCATCTGTATAGGGATTAATGAGCATTAGCGTAGATTTGAAGATAAGGAGGGAATACCTGGATGGAGTCATCTTGGCGTACCTCAGGTGGGGCCAGCCCAACAGCCACGTCCTCTGGTGGGCTCTCTACCACCCCCTGCAGGAACACAAAGCGAAGGTACAAGGAGACTGAAAGGGAGAATCAAACACTCTATACTTCTATAAACTAGCACCTCATACAGTGCATCCACACACTTTAAGATGCTGGGATGTGCTCATGTTTTGTAATATTTTACTAGTAAATGAGATGACAATGTCCTGAATAGAGTCTTTAAAACACAACTTCACTGGCAACTCAGGACGTGCAGTAGCAAACTGCTTATTGCAAACAATCCCAGGTAAAGCTGTGTTTTGGGTTAACTTTCACCTCAATAGAGCTCTTAAAGGCCATCCTCTAGCTCATTTGAAAGTAGTTACCCAAAGTCTCCAGCAGCTATGCCTTTTAAGTAATGATTAAACTAAAACCAACACTCTGGGTTACAGTCTTTGATATGGCAATCCAAAGTTAAACTTCACTCTTTAAAGAGATGGTTGTTAGAAACAAATGTTCAAAACTGTAAAATGCTAGTAAGAAGAAGACATACCTGAGGTGTGGGAAGAACAAACTTTGTTGGTGTCCTAAGCAATAAAAAAAGACATGAAAGTCTGTTAGTCACAAGACTAGTCCTGATATGGTTGTGTGTGTGTCAAAAAGACTTCTCTCTGCCTTACACTTTGACCCCTATATTGTCATCGTGAAAACAATGACAATATAGGGGTCCAAGTGTAAGGTAGACTTGGGCAATTGATCTCCACACAACCTTTGCCTCGTTAAAAAGATGGGAGTAGAGTAAGACCAGGCAAAATCATCCAGACAGATGGCATCGTCGTTGTTATTATTGTTGTCAAATAATGATAACTAATGTTGTTCCTTTATTAGCTACAGAAGAAACACTGAATGTATGAACAAAATAATGTTATCTCTTGCTAACATATGGTGCAATTCAATGGCCAGCATCATCTTCATAGCTGAGAATGTTTCAATACCAATCACAGCATATACACATACATAGCTGTAAGTAGAAATGTCACTTACAATTTAGGAGATGGAGTAAAATGTACGTCTTCAGCAGCATCGTAGAATTCCTCTGTGTCACTATCTGACGCCATTTAGCTAACTAACGTCAACTAGCTAGCTAGATAGTTTAGATGCATGCAGGGCCTCTACGATAAGGGAAATCGCTGCAATATTTAGATGTGTTCGGTTCGAAGTGATGAAGACTTCCAATTTGTGCAGCAAATAAAAAGGTCCTCGACTGAAAACTCACTTATTTCGCTAGGATACACCCATATGTTGCTACTAGCTAATACATGGGAGAGGCCACTCACCTGTGTGTACTAGGTACTCCTGGCTGCTAACGTAACCAGCTAGCTAACGACGTTAGTTAACGCTAGTTTTAACCTAGCTAACTACCAAGTTTCTTGAATCAATTCATAAATAAATACTCCGAACTAAAGGTCTAACGATAAAAACGACTGCCCATCCCCGTCTTCCTCACACAAAAAAGGGGGCTGCAGCCAAGCCAAACATAGCTAGCTAGTGTAATCACAAACAAGGAAGAACGCCCCAAAATAATTATAATGCATACGGAAATCTCGCGATAATTTATCTGACAGCTTCCAAGACCCCTCCTCTCTTCTCCTTCTCTTCTCTTGTTTTGTGTTCACACCTGCTGTCCTTTGATTACAAGTGTGTGAAGTCTTCAGGTCTGCAGGAAAGATTGTGGTTCATCGAACCAATTCCGTTTCTGGGGATCAGACCAGACTCAGAAATAAAACCCACTTCATCTTGTTAAAAAAAAAAAAAGCCAAAAAAATAGCTATCGATAAAATTGATTTATAAATAAAATCAACAAGATCAATATTTTCAGCACTCTTCTTTCTTCAGTGAGGTTTCACATCCCCAATAAATGGCATATTCTACCACCAGCTGGACCACATCTACTTTGTTTGGTATTTAAGTTTTGTGGCTATGAAAAATATTGCCATATGAGCCTACCATTTCCCAGCGTGGTTACGTCACGTTCCTTGCAAACGACCATTGGATAGGTTGGAGGCGGACCTTATTGAGATCTATGGGTAGAGTGGATTTGAGGGTTTAAGAAGAAAACAAGGACGTATCAGGTAGGAATTTCGCTATTTAAAAGTTTATAGAATGTCTTTTAGATTCTCTTTATATGTAAAAGGTTGAATACAACATAAAAAGCAACCCAACGTTTCCAATTATGGGTAACTAGCTAGATAAGTAGCTAGCTAGCTAAGTAGCTGAAGATGTAGCTAGAAGCTTCAGCTGGCTAGCTAACTAACTTGACGGGTAGCCATGCTGTATGGTTTGTCCTTCCTGCAAATGCTCTCGCCCGGCGAAGTTGGTATACATTGACACTGCTTAATGGGGTTAAGCACACCACAATAGCTAGCTAGATATATATAAATACGTTCCACCTTTATTTCTAATTGTTGCCCTAGCTTTTCACTTAGGTGATCATGGATGTTTGGAATAAAGATGTGTTGTAACTAGCGGTAACTAACGCTAGCTAGCTATCCAGACTGTAGTTACAGCTAGCTATCCAGACTGTAGTTACAGCTAACTAGCCAGCCTGTAGTTACAGCTAGCTAACTATCCAGCCTGTAGTTACAACTAGCTAGCTACCTAGCTGACTCTCAGCTTTTCTCAGTTTAGCAAGCTAGTCTGTTAAGTTTTAGAAGTTTCCAATAAACATGTGTAGTCATGTCTTCCATGCATGGCTATCCTGGGGTTAACTCGCGGCTAAACTTGGAGCTAGCTAACAGTTGACTGTAAAGCAGCAAGTTATCTGTTATCTATTTGATATTTTGATTAGCTAGTATTAACGGCAGGAAAGTGAGACATGGCATGGATAATTATGGATAATAATTTACCCAGTTACAAAGATACCGTGACAAACTGTGGTTTAGAATATTCAATTGAATTGAGGGCATCTACTGGGCGCTGTTCTTTTTCCCAATTTCAGATGACATACTTGCTGCGCTTTCTCATCTCTGTTAACGTATTGACTGACATTAGCCAATGATGTAATGAACTTTAACATAATGTGAAATGCGACCCACTCAATTGTTAGAACATTTCTGCAGCACCTGTCAAAGGCCTTCTCGTGTTGATCATTTCTATGTAATATAGGGTCGGTGTAGGTGCACTCAGAAGGTGGATGTGTTTATTGGAGGAGCTGGTGTCATGGGGATTGCCATACTAGACAACATCCAAACCGCAAACTGTGCTAGTTACCTGCCCCAATGGGGCATGCATGTATTTGCTTTCAAAATCAGTATATCATTATGGAAGCAGCATACTGTCACCCTTCACATGATGAGCCTTTTTTAGTGTAATGCCAATTGTTCATTTGATACATGTTTGTCAGATCTGTCAAAATGTGGGAAGTACATAGCATGTACAATAGGCTACACAGTATACTTCAAAACTGCACAACTCTGTGTAAGCTAATCTGAAGGCTAGCCAGACCTAGTGGACTAAACTCCATGTTGAAGGAAGTTTATGATGAACTTCACCAACAGAGTGGAGCAGACCAGGCTTTGTGGAATCTAGCTCCGACAGCATCGATTCGCCAATGGTCAATACTGTAAATCATGAAACGCCTACCTTTTACCTATGTGTGTCCTCTGTAGTTGCGTGTCTTTCTTCGTTTGCTGAAATCCATACTTTTTCAATAAACGTTAATCAAATGCAACCACCAACTTTTTGCTTGTTTCTGTCTCTTGAAGATGGCAACTCAGCGTGAATGCGCATGTGTGAATTGAGTCTTAAAAAAGTGAATTTCAGCAAACAAAGAAAGGCATGCAACTACAGAGGACAAACATAGGTACAGGGTAGGCGTTTCCTGATTGAAAGTATTGACCTTGGGCAAATCGATGTAGTCGGAGCTAGATTCCACAAAGCCTGGTCTCTGATCCACTCCGTTGGTGGAGTCATCATAAACTTCCTTCACCATGGAGTGGCGTGTAGTCTGCTAAGCCAGACCTAAAGTTTTTCTCTATGTTGGCCATATTGGATGGGTTTTCGTGTCAACTGTCCTGAGTGTGACCGGAGAAAATAGGCTACACATTGTTCAGTCAAACAAAGGGCCCTTTGCCATTGACCTGCTACAAATAACAAGTAACGTGCCATTTAGTGACTGCGTTGTTGTCAGGAGACTGAAGGCCATGTTCAAGATGACCACTGCTTGGCTTTGTGTTTTGTCCTCTCTAGGTGGAGCATCTTGGTTGAACCTTGTTTGTCCCGTCTAGGCCTAGTAGTTTAGTGCTTCAAGGTTGTCCTCTCTTGACTTAGCCTGACTTATAATCATTTCATTTTCTTTACAAGAGACAAGATAATTAATAATTTCAATCTTCATTGAATTTTTTATTTAGGCAAATTAGACTAGGCACTGGTCCTGGACTGGTCTTTTCCAACCAATTGCATTTCAGCTAGACTAGACTAAAGTCATCCCCCAGCCTCTGTTGCACTACGGATATGACAGTTCCAGCTACTTTGATATGCTTCTGAATCCTGACTGGTAGGAAGAGAGTTCTGTCACTACATTAAGTCATTAGGATAGTCAATGTAGCTACATAACTGTAACATTTTTATGCCACTATGCTCAACTAAAATTAGCTAGGATGGTGAGGAAGCCACAGGTGTTGTCACCTTTATTATAGGTAGCAGACTAACAGCTATATTAGCTACTTGCTTTTCACTTTCTCTCTCCTCTCTTCCTATGTCCCTCTGTCTGACTATGTAGACCCCTGGTGTGGTCCCGTGGACTGTGAACTATCCACACAGACTGTGCTGCAATTATCACCCCATCTGATCTCCACTTTAATCATGACCAAGCTGAACAGTGGGGTGCAGGGAGGACAGATGGCAGACAACGCCCCAAAATATGAGTGAAATATTAATAGAAAGGCCATATGCTCACATGCCGCTAATAAATGGAAAAAGAGAGGAGGCAGAGCTGAGCTCTGGCCTTGTGGAGATTTGGTAGAGTAATATTTGTAGTCTATTAATTGTCAAAAATTTCATTGTCAAGGGTTTGTATTGATGGTCGACCATATCACTCTTATTGAGTAGATTTTATAATGAGATTAACTAGGATAGATTAAGGTGAAATAAAATGAAACAGTCTTAAATGTAGAATTTTGATAGCAATATTGCTAATACCACAAACCCTGAGGTAGAGCTCTGCTCCCCGAGCCTGACAGGCCCGACATTATACATTGGGTTAGCAATAACTAGGGTGCGGGCAGTGCTCGGGTGTCACTAAATTGATCACTAACATTTTGAAGCAGAGCCATTTGCTCTGCTGCGCAGTACAGTTACAGTGGGGAGAACAAGTATTTGATACACTGCCGATTTTGCAGGTTTTCCTACTTACAAAGCATGTAGAGGTCTGTAATTTTTATCATATGTACACTTCAACTGTGAGAGACGGAGTCTAAAACAAAAATCCAGAAAATCACATTGTATGATTTTTAAGTAATTAATTTGCATTTTATTGCATGACATAAGTATTTGATACATCAGAAAAGCAGAACTTAATATTTGGTACAGAAACCTTTGTTTGCAATTACAGAGATCATACGTTTCCTGTAGGTCTTGACCAGGTTTGCACACACTGCAGCAGGGATTTTGGCCCACTCCTCCATACAGACCTTCTCCAGATCCTTCAGGTTTTACGGACTTTCAGCTCCCTCCAAAGATTTTCTATTGGGTTCAGGTCTGGAGACTGGCTAGGCCACTCCAGGACCTTGAGATGCTTCTTACGGAGCCACTCCTTAGTTGCCCTGGCTGTGTGTTTCGGGTCGTTGTCATGCTGGAAGACCCAGCCACGACCCATCTTCAATGCTCTTACTGAGGGAAGGAGGTTGTTGGCCAAGATCTCGCAATACATGGCCCCATCCATCCTCCCCTCAATACGGTGCAGTCGTCCTGTCCCCTTTGCAGAAAAGCATCACCAAAGAATGATATTTCCACCTCCATGCTTCACGATTGGGATGGTGTTCTTGGGGTTGTACTCATCCTTCTTCTTCCTCCAAACATGGCGAGTGGAGTTTAGACCAAAAAGCGCAATTTTTGTCTCATCAGACCACATGACCTTCTCCCATTCCTCCTCTGGATCATCCAGATGGTCATTGGCAAACTTCAGACGGGCCTGGACATGCGCTGGCTTGAGCAGGGGGACCTTGCGTGCGTTGCAGGATTTTAATCCATGACGGCGTAGTGTGTTACTAATGGTTTTCTTTGAGACTGTGGTCCCAGCTTTCTTCAGGTCATTAACCAGGTCCTGCCGTGTAGTTCTGGGCTGATCCTTCACCTTCCTCATGATCATTGATGCGCCACGAGGTGAGATCTTGCATGGAGCCCCAGACCGAGGGTGATTGACCGTCATCTTGAACTTCTTCCATTTTCTAATAATTGCGCCAACAGTTGTTGCCTTCTCACCAAGCTGCTTGCCTATTGTCCTGTAGCCCATCCCAGCCTTGTGCAGGTCTACAATTTTATCCCTGATGTCCTTACACAGCTCTCTGGTCTTG